TTATGTCACATCAAAAGAGTTGCAGGTGTTATGTGCAAAATATTTAGCTGACATAAAATGTGACACACCCTTTCAAGAGCAACATATCTTGGAATTCTCCGTCCTGAAGTCAACGTAGCCTCCTCGAAAGGAAACCTCACCATGCGGCCGCCACAGGTCAGTCCGCTCTTATTCGCCGTGTGTTCCACAGTTCCGCTTCGGGTTAGCGTTATCGTGGCCGCTCGGTTTACTGTCGCGATACAGAGCGCGCGCGCGCGGCCGCTCAGATAAGACTCGGTCTGGCCGCACGCGAGCAGCCCCCCCGCGCGCGCGTGTCGCGTGCGTCCCCGCGGCCACGATGAGCCCCCCGATGGTGAGGGGGACCCCCCCGCGGCCCCCTCGCGCATCACCCCCAATACTTTGCCGCTACTTTCGATGATGAAGCGCTTGATTGATCCGTCCCATTTAATCACCCCCCTTATCCGCGACAATATTGAGCCGCGGCGCACGAGTAGGCAGGGGGAGGGGTGGCCGCCGACGGGGTGGTGCAGAGAGGAGGCGGCGGCGCGCAGAACAAAAGTCGCCCCGCGGCGCCCGAACGCCCCTTGATTAATTGCGCTTCTTGGAAAGAGAGAGAAGTCCGCCCTCTCTACCCACTCGCTTGGCTCGCGCCGAGGCTCGCGCGGTGCACAGTTGGTGCAGCGCCGCGGCCGCGTGTTCATAACAGGTAATGAGCAGCCACCCTACGGGGCCCAACCTGCAGGGGCGGGGTGGCTGCTCCCCGCCTTTTAGAGATGCCCTGCTGCCTCCTCTTTCTTCGAGGCCCCCGTTGCCCGCCAAATTTATGTCGCCGCAACTAATTCACTTCCACTCCATTCGGGGGTGACCTGCTGTCCAGTCCCCCGGTGGCGGCCCCGCACGCTGACCCTCCACCACTCTCCCCTACTTTCTCCTCTCCCAGCAGCCTCTTTCTCTCCCGCTCTCTCTTTTCCCCCTCTCCCTCCCACTCTCACGCGTCGTCACGCGCCGGCCGAATTGACCATACGTCTCAGTCGGGTTCCGGCCGCGCTGGGGTGGTCGGGGCGGGACGTGGCGGCCGAGCTACACTAGCCGCAGCCATCAGGCCACGGGCCAAGAGCTTCACCGGGGGCAGAGTGGCGCTTACTTCGAGTCCCACCCAGCCCTTAGAAGGGGTTGAATCCAAGAAACAACATGATTAAACATTGCATCGTAAAGATAAGAGGGGGTAAACATTTGGCTTCTTGATTAAATAATTAGCCAATATTGCCAAAGTTTTTACTATGACAGCAATGACAGTAGCTTCTTTTAAACGGCAATTGAAGAGTTGACTTAAACCACAAATCAATTGGCTAAGCGGTCTATTAATTACTGTTGACCGGCGCCGGCGTTAGGCTGAAGGCCGAAAAAAAACTGATGCCAGCTCTTCTTCTTCTTCTTCTTCTTCTTCTTCTTCTCCTCAGAAATCGCCCTGAAAGAACGTAAAATTTACTCATATTCGTTTTTTGTCAATAACGGGGAGCTCGGCGCCCGCGAGACTCGGGGTAGGCCAGCCCGCAGTACACCCATGCACAGCAGGCAAGATGTGGCCTACCCATAAGGCGCTATGAGAGCTTGCGTTGGCTCATTGTCAGTTCAAAACGGGAGATGATGCACGTACTTTGGGATGATCACACCACAATGAGTGCGCGGCGCGATGAATCGAATGAAAGAACGTGTTTATTGCTTGGCACAAAATTAATTTCGTGTTCCATGTCTCCCATTGTCATTATCGTTGAATAATATAAAGTACAATTTTGTTGTACTGCCGCGATTTGAGAGACTATGTTCTGATTGAGTATCCTGGCACGCCGCCGAGCAGGACACAACTACAACAACAACATCGGTATCCCTCGGTCGGACGCATTCTCACCGCGCGATAATACAAGGAAGAGAAAAATATGTCAGCAAAGGGAGGAGAGGCCTTAGCGTGGAATATAATCACAGAAACCCGTGTCGTTGCGCTCGGGCTCCGGGCGCAATTTGCATTTCTCGTTTCTGTTCCTCCGCGTGTGACACGTGGGCCGCTCTCCCCCTCTTACTTTCGCTCACTTATGCGCATACCGAAGCACTCCGCCTCCTCCAGGAGGGGAAGAGAGTGAGAGAGAGAGGAGGAGAGGGGGTCAGGAGGGGCAACTGGTCTGTGATTGCGCCTCCCTGAGTGCTCCGCCGCGTCGCCGGCAACAAAACACACATGTGCCTCAAGAAGTCCCGGGGGCGGGCGCAGTCAAAACAGAGCGCGCGAGGCGCGAGGGGGTGCGAGAGTTACGGGTGGAGGGGAGAGCTGGCGCTGCAGCGTGGGCATTATCCCCCGGACAGGCTGGAGTGCGCCCGGCGCACTCGTAAAGGCCACGGCCCGCTGCACAGCCAAAGCTCCGACACATTTGTGCGCTCAAATTAATAAACGGCAATATGAAAATACGATGCGATCCGTATGCAATAATCATTTTTCCGCGACTCTAGTGTATAACCCGGCCACCCCCGCGCGCTTCCAACCCACCCTACCCTCCCGAGCGCCCCCAACTGTTTGCGGGCCAGGTTGGATGGGGGTTGATTGAAATTAAGGGGGTTGATGCCTCTTTCATAAAAGCGAAGGAAAAACGGCAATAAACAACGAATAAGAGTCCCAGTCAAATAAACACGCGGGAAACAAACGGAATAGGGAAAAAAACGACTACGGGCCAATTTAATTTAGCGCGCGCGGAGTTTACGACGAAGGTAAAGGAACCCTCTTGAACTGAGTCGCGTTGTACGTTTATATTAAGCACGGCGAGATCCTGTGCACTGTACAGTGTGGTAAACAAAGTATTGCCCGGTGCAATCTTACGGCGCGCTCGACGCTCACCCCCAGCCCAGCCCGCTTACCACCCGCCCAGCGCAGCTTAGGGGCTCGGGCCGGGCCCGGGGGCGCCCGGGGGTCACGCCACGCCACGCAACTTGCCAACAGATTGATCAGATATCACGAAATCCGCGCTCGCCGGCCCGTAATGTCCTTCGTTTATTATGCCCCGTTACTCTCTGGAGCGTTACGGGCCCTGGGCGGGCATAACTACTACATCTTGACAGTCATGAAGTGCATGAAGGGCTAGCGCCAGCTCCCGCCTGGCAGCGTAGCCTGCCGGTGTGGGCGGGGGGCGGCAGGGGCGGCTCCGCAAAGCTCAGCCGCTCAGCCCCTCGGCCGCAGACAGCGCCCAGACCCGCGCAGCGCCCCCTCCCGGCGGCACGCTCCATTTCAGACAGGCCTCTAAAGCCTATTTGATTTCCCTGCTCCCGACTCAATAACACCAATTTCTTGCATGACGGCGCGTGCAAAACGTAAACGGCCCGGGGGCGCAGCCCGCCGCCCCTACCGGCAGGACACCGCTGCTGCTGCTGCCGAGCTCCGCTGGGAGATTTGCGACCGGACGAATGTGGAGCGGCACCACGACCGGAGGAGGGGGACCCCGGGTCATGCGGGGCCGGCACGGGGACGGTCCAGGGGAGCCGCAGGAGAGAGGGAGGAAAGGGATTCAGAAGAAGTAATAACACGCTATCGTTTTGGCCGTTCACCTCCTTTCCTCTCCCCGCCCTGAAGCCGAACGGCTCATTTCCTCGTCGCGGCGGTTCGGCCGCGCGCGCCCCACACGACACCGGGGCGGGGCAGCCGCTCAATAGCGGCGCACGCCACGCCAAGGCCCGGGCCATGCCGGTGGCCAGGCCAGGCTGTACTTTACTCGGAAGTCCGGAAAGCGCTACGGATGTGGTCACACAAAAAACATTCAAGTACAAAGTTTTCAAAAAATCTAAGTAAACCGAAATTGGATGAGGAAAAACTGGCAGAGTTTGGGGTGATCCGGTCCACTATAGAATAAAACAGCGAAAATCCATAGAGAGAGAGAGAAGCCTACATCGATGCCTCAGAGCGAGAACCGCTCAGTATAATAGGCTTTCCTGCAGAGACTGAGCGGTTCTCGCTCTGAGGTATCGACATAGCACTGTAAAATCCTTGCGATTAATTGCAAACCAATTGCGAATTCGAATCTTCTTCATAATGCAAAGTAAATTCTCTCGTAGGTTTACAAAGCAAACAAAAATGTTTGCTTTACTTACAAATCCTCTGAAAGGATTCACCTGTGTGTGTGTGTACCGACCGCGCATACAGACTGCAGTTGCAGCTTGCAGCCGCGGGCCACGCGAACCTGCCCGTCTCGAGGGGAGGGGAGCGCAACCTCACCCGTTTACAATCCTTCTCTGCGGGACTCCGAGCCGAGCCCGGTCGTGCTGGCAACGAGATGCCGATTTCCGATACGCGGCAGAGAAAAGAGACTCCAAGGTAGAAGAGCGCGACGCGAGAGGATGTGTTTGAAGTGGCGAGGGGGAGTCCTCTCTGGCAGGTTTATGTTCTCTTTATCTCTCTCTTTCCTCCTCTCTCCCCTCTGCCTCTCACCTCTTTCTCCGTCTCACTCGATAGTGCGACGTAAAACCCGGAGGGAGGGGGAAAGGGGTGTGGGAGAGAGCGAAAAAGAGACCGAGCGCGTAAAAGAGGCTGCTTGCCTGGCAATCCAGCGGAGTAAACCCGGCCGACATTCGCAAAGCCTTTCCTTATTATTTCTTTTATTTTTAGCGAGACGCGCTCTCGTGCCGCTGCTCGCGTCGTGGGGGGTAAATATAATGGGACTGGCGAAAGCAGCATCGTTGACGAGCCACACAAAGCGTGATGGAATTTTAAATGGCTCCGGCTCTTTCGTCTCGCCGCGACCGCACTCCAGCTCCGCAGCGCCGCGAGCAGCGATCCTGTGTTCGACTCGACGTACTTACTGCATCCTGCATCGCACCGAGGCAGAGGGAAACACGCGTCATGCACTCGTGAATCAAATCAACACGTCGCATCAAACGAATCCGCGCTTAACAAAAAGAGGAGTAGACTAGGCCGTATCAAAAGTGTTTTCTTTGAGGTTCAGGTTTTGAGGTGCTTTAAGACTCACCTGCATGTAGCCGCCCACGCAGGTGCTCGCGTTGACCAGGGTGCCGACCTTGAACTTCTTGAAGCGGATGCGCAGGATGCCGTCGCGGCGCGTGGCCGTCCGCAGCGACCGGAAGCGGTACGAGCACGTCATGGGCTTGCCGAAGTTCTGCGCCGTCACTTCCGGCGTGGCCACGTCCTCGTACACGTCCACCGTCTTGTTGCAGTGGTCCTTCCGGGCCGCCGCTGCAGAAACACAACAGGGGCAAATCATTCATGAGCCGAGAGAAAAAGGAGTGGAGAGGGGAGGAGCTGGGCGGGTGAGTCTGCGCTGCGCTGAGCGCTGCGCGCGGGTTGCCTACAGCGCCTTAGGGGCTCAACCTGAACCCGGAACGTTCGGGGCCGCAGGCACACCCAACCACAGCCGTCGCCATGCTGCAAGGCTGAAGGGAGAAGGACACGCTCGGTACACCTGCGTGCTCGCCAGGCACGAGCACACCACGCACACACCGTCCGTACTGCGTACACAAACTGCTTAATTTTCCAGACAGCCGGCCAGGAGTGCGAATTCGTTCCTTTTCCTTATTTCCGTCCGAGGAAAAGAAAGGCACGCGAGCGAGGAAGAGCCGGAGCGAGCGGGCCGGAGCGGCTGGTAAATGTTTAACATGCGCTCCCTTTCTCAACGGGGTAGGAGACTGGAGGGGCAGCGCATAAAGGCAAGAAGCAATTTACACACTTTACGCGCCAGCTGGCTTTCAAGCAAGAAAAGGCAGGAGCGAAATTATATTTTCCAGGCCAAACGCACACTGTAGTGTTGATCGGTGAGGAGTCCCCCCACCGCGCGCGGTGCCGCCGACCCCAGCCCAGCCCAGCCCAGCCAACCCCAGCCGCCGACAAACACTCCAACAAAGGGAAGCGCTGGGACCGACTCGGGGATTTCAAAGAAAGCTTAACTGCCGTGTGTTTTCTCTCGCGCTGACTGAGTGGGGTTGGGAGGTGGACGACACAGGCGAGCCGCCCCCGCCGCCTCCACCGTGCCCGCCTCCCCCTAGGGGCTCAGCCCCCACAAGCCTGGCCGGGGCCCGGTGGGACCCGCACCAAGCTGACCAGGGACCGCGGCGACCATCCCGAGAAAGTGCGAGAGGGTTCTCTTGTCCTCCTGGGGAGGGAAGGGGCCGTCGGGCCGGGCCTCGGCGAGGAGGAGGAGCGGGGAGGTGAAGCAGCGCGCGGCCCAAACTTTTGAGCCGGGCTGGCGGACCGAAAGGGGCGCGCTGCTTCCGGGTATCGCCTTTCAACAAGTAGTGAGCGGGCCTCGGCCGACCTCACATGTGAACGCTCGTCGCTTAGGCAGACCCCAGAGGAGGGAGGGCTCAGGCTCAGCAGCACTGCCGCTTTAAACGCAACCGGAACGGTTCCCCGAATGCGGGAGTGGTTTCCAGCAATCCGTCGTCTTTTTGCGGTCGGCAGCCTCGAACACGCCAGCCGCGCCCAGCCCGGCCCGGTCCCAACGCGTCGGTTCACGCGTTACAGGGTTTCCCATCACGTTTTCCAGTTTGAAATTCAAACAGCAGCGGGACGAACAGCGGGAAAGCTCAGCGGGGCAGAAAAATGAGCCCGGACTGCGGAGTGCGGCGGAGGTGGCTACAGCCCAACCACCCCATCACGAACCGACTGAAACACTGTTATTGTTCACAGGACTACGCGCTACGCCCCCCCTGTATGTTCTCTAAATACCAATTGTTACAAGAAAAATAAAAAATGCGTCCGGCTATTCATGAAGTTAACGTAAGTTTTCGTTTCCGTCACGGCAAGCAGGTTTCCGAACACTGTCCATGTTATTATTGCCAAACATCGCAAATGGCTAATCGTTATTCGATTGTGTGAATAACAGTACAGTAAGGTAGCAAACAGCGGTCAGAAACATTAAATGTGTAGGCATGAGAGATGAAACCGAAATAATCTCCCAGCAGGAGCAGGCTGAAAACGGACGCCTGGAGACGAAGTTCTCGTAATCTGGAAGTAGCACCCGTAAAACCCTTTCATCTCACGACACGACGCGGGGCACGAGAAGATCGTTCAGAGTACGAGGGGGCGGGAGTAGCGAGCCAGTGCCTCATCACAGACTGCGAGTATGCACAGCTAGCGACGAGACGACAGATGAAGATCGGGTCAGCAGGTAGACAGAGGAGGCAGCGCACGGCAGCGACGAGCGGACCAACAAAATCAACCGCATTATTTGGCTACCACTCGCCGTCCCCCACCCCTTACACACACACAGAGGGAAAGAGGACGGCGGGGCTCTTTCGGGGCCCCTCTTGCGAGTGCATTGTTTCCGGCTCTTTTGTTTCGCGAGCTAAACCTTTCCCCCGTCAGCCCTCTCTCTCTCTCTCTCTCTCCCTCCTGCGCCCACCACTCTTCCGGCTCCACCCGCCCGCAACGAGCGTCCCCAAAGAACCAATAACTCTGTCACGCTCACACACACGCAGCACACAGAGCTAGGGGCGCGCGGTGCGCACCGGACCGGCGGGGACGTGCCCCCAGACGGAGCCTCACGGTGCCCGCCTATGGAGCCGCCCGGAGCCGCCCGGAGCCGCCCCGGCCGCACCTGGGCAGCACCTGCTGTCCCCGGCTCGTCTCGCCGCCCCACAAGTCCCTCATGCTCTCCGCGCCCATATCGGGCCGCCCCCATACCATTGATGCACCCCCCAGCCCGGCAGGAAGCAGTGCCAGTAAATCTCGGCAGCCATCAATCAGGCTGCGGGATTGCGGCGGGCGAGCTCGGCCAGGACAGAGCGGGGTAGCTGCTGCTGTTGTCTGAATTAAGGGAGTTTTGGAGCGGCAGAGGGTGGAGCTGGCTGCTGCTGGGAAGGCGTGAGACTAGATTTAGTTATCCCCACATGTTCCGCTCCGCCGACAACATTCCCACCGAGGATAGACTGACTCGGCCCGCGCGCTACCACCGCGCAACTCGGCGGCGGCGCACGGCCCCAACAAGGGCCGGATGCACCCCGTTCAGCAGTAGGTAAGGGCCCCGCTGCGCCCTGCGGCTGGCGCCCCCGCGCTCGCGCTGGCACCCCTATTGGCACCTGTTGGCAATAGTGTATCTATTCCATACGGGGCCCAGCGCCCAGCCCAGCGCCCAGCCCGCCCGACTTTGGCACGCGCCCCGGGGCCGTGTGCGTGCGTGCGCGTGGGGGTGGCAGGTGGAAGAGGGATAAGGACCCCCCGGCCGCCGGGCCCCATGGCGGGGCGCCAAGGCGGACGGCCAAGTCTGTGGTCGCGTCCCCACACAGGCCGGGCTGCGCCGCCGCACCGCCGCAGGCCTCGTGTTGTAGGCGGCGGGCGCGGCGCTGTTGGCCAACATTAGTTTTGGCGGAGGCAAAGCCAAGGCGGGCCGAGCAGCGGCAGCAGCAGAAGCAGCAGGAAGGGGGAGTAGGGTGTGAGGGGCCGCCGCTCTGGCGACACCCCCGAGGGAAGGACGCCGCCGCCGCCGCCAGCCACTCGTCGCCTTTCCCTTCCGCCGCTTGACGAGGCCAATGAAAAATACATGCAAGCCGACACGCCCCATTGTGTGTGTAAATCCGGCGACGCCTGGCCCGCGCGACCTGTCGCCCCTCCCCCCCCTCTGCCCTTCCCTCTTTTCCTCATTCCGTCGTGTTGTTAAAGCCACGGCGTCGGTTTTCGTATTCCCCCCACGCGCGCGCCGTCTACAAACCCCTCCTAAAGGCTGATCCGTCAATCCAGAGAGGCCCTCTCTGCAAATTATTTGGCCCCGGAATAACACACCGA